AGAACGTTTGGATGCTCCAGAAAGTTGATGAGCAAAACCCAGAAGTCAAGGGCTACATACTCGTCTATGTGGACGATATTTTGTTGGCCATGCCTTTGGCATTGATGCGTGCTGTTGCGTCCAAGCTGCAAGACACGTGGAACACCTCTCCCTTGTGTGTTGCTTCAAAGGAGACGCCGGTGAAGTTCTTAGGCCTTGATGTGGTGGCTGTTGATGGGGGGTTCTTTGTGACGCAAGAAACGTATGTTGACGAGCTAGCGCGGATCCATAATCCTCATCCTCCAGCTGTCACGCCTTTGACACGGGAGGAGTGCTCATTTGAGTTGACTTCGTCCGACGTCCCACCGACGCCAGAACTCACTTTGGAGTGTCAACAACGGGCCGGAGAGCTGTTATGGCTCTCGCAGCGGAGTCGTCCGGACATCGCCTTCACAAGTGCTCTGGTATCCAGTCTGTCCACTCGAGCTCCTGCGCGTGCCATTCGTGTTGCACAGAGAGCCCTCCGCTACGTTGTATCCACGCGGTCTTCCGGCATTCTCTTTGTTTCGCACAGCGAGGCCTCTCTAGATGTCTACACTGATGCGAGCTTTGCTCCAGAGGGCACAAAAAGCCACACTGGCTATGCTGTCTTCTACAGGAATGTGCCTGTACTTTGGCGGAGCGCCCGCCAGGGTCTGATCACTCTAAGCACAGCAGAGAGCGAGCACATCGCTCTTCAAGAATGCGCTGTGGCCGGTTTTTCTGTAAGGGCATTGATTCAATCTCTGCTCCTCCCAGTGTCCACGCCTGTTCTACACTGTGATTCGACTGCAGCACTTGCCATTCAGGCAGGCAGTGGCAGCAGTCGCACACGTCACTTGAGAGTAAGAAGCGCATGGCTCAAGGAGAAAGTAGAGTTAGGCGAACTGTCGACTTGTCATCGGCCAGGCTCTGAACAAAGAGCAGATTTGCTCACAAAGCCGTTTGCGCGTCCTAGACTGCTGGAGCTCAATGGACTGTGGGGCTTAGTAGACAGGTCTCTCGTGTCTGCAGGGATCGTTCCGGATCCAGCTGCTCGTAAGGCATTGTTGGTGTTGTTGTTCCTTCTCCAAGCGTCTCAAGCGAGGGCACAGCAGGTGGTGGATGACGATGCTGCCATTAAGTCAGACGTTTGGTTGTATGGGATAGCTGCCATGCTGGTAATAGTCGGTATTGCTGGCTGGGAGTTGTTGAGGTTCTTGTGGAGGGTTTTTGTTGAGCCAAGGGTTATTCAGAGCGAGAGGAGAGTTAGGAAGCTTCGTAGGCTGCAGGAAGCTGTTCAAGAAGAACTGCAAGAGCAGCTCGCTAGCGACCCTCCTAAGGCACCTGAAACACCTGTAGTCCCTAAGACCCGAACCCTGCCATCTACATCACCGGCACCACCGGCGCCAGCTTTCAGAGGAGATGCTTCGAGCTCCACGGATCATGCAAGTAGTCAGTCGTCGTATTTGTTGTCATCGCCACCTCAGTCGCAGTTTTCAGTGTTCCCTCGTAGTGGACGTAGAGCTCGGAATGCACTGGCACTTCATAGAGACGTATCAACGCAGACTGAATTTCAGGACTATGTAGTGCACACCCAGGTAGTGACACCTCCCCAAGTGTATGTCACGACCGGTCGGTGCTTTCATCTGTATCAAGACTGTCCTGCGGTGCAGAAGGCTAGGGGTGGCAGGTGGGCTCCGTTTTGCGAATTCTGTCGCGGAAGGTAAGCTCGCTTAGTCGTGGAAGAATTATGCATGAGCTCCTGTGCTTGAGATTCTGGGTGGAGGCTGAGTCTCGAATGAAGGGGGCAGTGTGAATTTAGTCTTTCGACCTGCAGCGTTCTCTCTGGGACCCAGAGGGTGCAGTGTAGTGTGGCGGCCACTTTGCAGTTGCCACCAAGGAGGAGTGTGAGAAGGTTGATGCATCTTCGCAGCTCCAGATGATCAGGCACAAATCGAGAAGTGTACTGAAGAATTCAACACCCAAAGGGTGCAACATTAGGCCGAGGAAGGGTCTACACTTTGCTTGTTGTGTGCCGAAAATAGTGATCTTTCCTTTGATTGACGCCATAGTTACCTTCTTCGGAGTCTGAGCGTTGAGACTTTGGCTTCATCGAGAACTCTGGAGGTTCGTGGTGACGTGGCACAGCAGCAGACCAGGTTCGCACAGGGTTGTGAATCTACAGTTAGGGTTTAGGGTTTGGGATGTTATAAAGTTATCTAGTTCCCTGAGTAGTACCCTTTTGCCCTTTTTATTTTGGGGCCCCCTTACTCAAGCCGAATAGTAGGAAAAAAGGGTACCCTTATTACCAAGTTATGAACGACCTGAAACCTGCAATTACCGAGCCAAGATGCCTGCTCTTGGTGCCTCTGCCCGCTACCTCGCGAATGCGGCTTGCCCTTAAACTTAGTAGCTGAGCAGGTAACCTTTAACCTTTTTGGGCTTATATAAACCTTTCATAATTCTAAACCCTAAACCCTAAACCCTAAACCTTTCATAATTCAAAAGGTTAACCTTTTTTAGGCTAAGGTACTCGGCCCCTAAGTAAATGTACAGAATGTAGAGGCCTTACCCAGAGGCTCCATAGTAGTTCCTTTTTGGGATTACCGTAGAGGGATCCTAAATATAAGCCCACAAAAGGGAACTACTATGGAGCCTGTGGGTTGTGATCAGGATGAGGTTGCTTCAGGGATTCTCTGAAACAGGTTCTATGAAACAGGGGCGTTAGCAGTCAGAAGAGTATTCCTGAGGGCTCCTGACAATAAGTGTTGTAACAGTACACCTCACAACCCTGTTCTAACTGTTAAGATCCCTAGATTAAGGGCTGCAAATGTTCAAGGGTTCCCCTAAACCCCGAACCCCAAATCCTTAACCCCAAAACCCTCAAAACTCGAAGGGCTCAGGGCTCGGAGGCTCAAAAAGCCTTCACCCTTTTAAGGGCTCTTTATCAGCCTCAGGAGTTTGGGGCTTAGTTTTTTTCCTTTCGGCCCTGGCGTTTCATCCG